GTGAGTGAGTGAGTGAGTGAGTGAGTGAGTGAGTGAGTGAGTGTGTGTGTGTGTGGGTGTGGGTGTGTGTGTGTGTGTGTAGGTGTGTGTGTGTGTAGGTGTGTGTGTGTGTGTGTGTGTGTGTGTGTGTGTGTGTGTGTGTGTGTGTGTGTGTGTGTGTGTGTGTGTGTGTGTGTGTGTGTGTGTGTGTGTGTGTGTGTGTGTGTGTGTGTGTGTGTGTGTGTGTGTGTGTGTGTGTGTGTTTGTGTGTGTGTGTGTGTGTGTGTGTGTGTGTGTGTGTGTGTGTGTGTGTGTGTGTGTGTGTGTGTGTGTGTGTGTGTGTGTGTGTGTGTGTGTGTGTGTGTGTGTGTGTGTGTGTGTGTGTGTGTGTGTGTGTGTGTGTGTGTGTGTGTGTGTGTGTGTGTGTGTGTGTGTGTGTGTGTGTGTGTGTGTGTGTGTGTGTGTGGCCCGTTCGCAATCACAGCCGCTAGCCGGCAGCTTCACTTGGTTGTCCCAGGCTACAATCATTGCCAGGGGATGCAAAAACCCACCCATCTGACGCGGAACCCAAGTGGCATTGATTTTTAAATGGCTAGCTGGTAGGTTGGGTAATTGCAAAATTGGCCCACTGTGCTTCTACTTCTTCCAAGCACGCTCCCGACCAGAAGCTTGGAGGCCTCCCTGCAAGCAAAAGTGCAGAAGTGATGGCCTAGCCTCCCCAGTGCTTCATGTACTGCTGGTAGTTGCCATCGCCGGGAGTAGACTTTGCAGATGGCAGGTACCGATGAAAATCATTCTCCCTGCTCGGTCCTGAGGCGCGAAATCTGCGTATGCAATTGGACGGGAGAAATATGGTAGGAGCGGCGTTCACGCCCACGTGTTCGCAATGGAAACAAAAACCGTCCTTCCAATCATGGGGGCACTGTGGAATATTGGACGCAAGTCCACCACACTCCTTCGGTCGACATGCAAAGGCTCATGATTCTTGTTACCAGAAAAAAATGGAATCTTGTCATCGTCCTTCCTTTAGTTTCCTTCGCTCCATTCCTTCCCTTTCCCCTGCCCCCTTCTTGTTTGGCATCGTCATCATCTTCATCATCATCTTCATCATAATCAAAATTATTATTATTATTATCCTTATTATTATTCTTGTTGATGTTGTTATTGTTATTGTTCTGCATCTTCTTTTGATGATTGTCATCATTATGCGTATGATTGTTTGTCTTCTTCGGTTCTTGTTCTTGTGATTGTTCTTGATCTTGGTCTTGGTCTTGCTATTCTTCTTCCTCTTCCTCTTCCTCTTCCTCTTCCTCCTCTTCTTCTTCTTCTTCTCCTAATTGTTGTTCTTCCTCCTTCTTCTTCTTCTTCTTATTATTCTTCTTCTTCTTCTTCATCTTATTTTTATTATTCTTCTTTTTCTTCTTAGTATTCTTCTTTCTTCTTCTTCTTCTTCTCGTTTGCGCTATTGATCTTGTTCTTGTTCTCCTTCTTCATCTTCATTATTATTCACTTCTTCTCTCTCTTCCTTTCTTCTTCTTCTTCTTCTTCTTCTTCTTCTTCTCTTCTTCTTGTTCTGCTTCTTCCTCTTCTTCCTCCCCTTGGGCTAAGGCCTACGGCACACTTCCCCACCCACCCCTCCTGCCACTGCGGTGGAGGCGAGCACAAAGGCCCAAAGCATGGCACGCCTGGGCACCGCCGCAAAAAAGAGCAGCGTCGCGCCCAGAAAAAAAAAAGAAGAGAGAAGCCCCCGCTCCGACCTTCCAATTCTTCAGGCAACGTCGGTTTGGACTTTGTGTCGCACCCCGGTCGGCACCAGTCGGCACCCGCCGACTGGCCCCCCAAACCCGAACGGGTCCCAGCCTTCGCAAGGGCAAGGGCGACACGATCTACTGGGCAAGGCCCAGCCAAGAGAGCTGCAAGAGAGCTGCGGCCAGACATCCAACTTCTACAAATTCACCTCCCAGCCTCTGTGCCCACGAACAAAGCAGTGTCCGTGCGGCTGACGTGAGAAATCCCGATGAAGAAAGCTTGATGTGCGAGGTCGGGCTATCCCCTGGTGAGCTTTTAATTTGTCCAAATCCGCAAGAATCGACTCCCAGCTGGAGTCCATTACAGTTCAGGCAGCAACCCGGGCTTCGGAGCGGGCGCTTTCGCGGTTGCAGTCCGGGCTGCCCATTCCAAGCGCAGCAGGGCTTTGGGCCATGAGCGCACTCATCCAGAGGGCTTTTACTCTGGCACAGATCCAACCATGTGTCACATAAAGCTCCCTCCCGGACCTTGCCAAAAGCCAAGGCTCCCCGAAAGGTATTTGGCCCTGGGTTAAATTCCAAATCGCACACCCAGTGAACATCCCAATCCCCACCAAAATAGGTTCTAAAATGGGTGGTGAATTCACCTACAAACCAAAATGGGATCCCAAAACGGTTTTGACAACCACAGCCATGCGGGCAAACGCCATGCATGCCCACAGCCGCTCAGGCCGAGCCTGAAGCGCCGCCTCGTCCCCTGGCGCTAGCGCCATGAGGCTGATGAGTGCCTCAGCTGGGCACTCTTGCCTCCCGGAAGCCGCTCCACCACACACCCCATGGTCAGCCCGGGCAGTGACTGAGACACTGTGGATGGTTACGAAATCCTCGGCACCACCGAAGCCCTCGTTGGTATTTACAGGATAGATCCCCCCTACCTTCAGGAGGGGGGTGGGACCCGGGTCCCCAATTCCATTTATCTAGTCTTCCCCATCAAATGGAAAATGGAATTCCAGCGGTCACCCCCCTCCCCCAATTCCATTTTTGAGAGGGTGGGGATCAGGGGAGTCATCCTTTCAGGGCTTTCTGGGTGGTGCCGGGAGACAGGGGTGTTGCAGCGAGGGCATCATGCCAAATAGCGGGCTTTGAACATCTTGCACAAGATAGAGATGTTGCTGGCATGCCAGCATCACCGTGTGGCACTATTTGAGAGAAACTGAGGTTGAGCAAGATTCCGCATACCAGGTGCATTCAAAAAATGAAGCCAGGCCCATGTTGGAAAATGGTCTCTGCTTCACTACCACCAGGGCCAATGATATGCCCATGTCACTGTGGCATCTGACCCTCTAGGCTAAACACAAAGAAAGGAATGGCGAGATGCAACCTGAGAGCAGAAGTTACTTACCCGTTCGCGCCTGTACAAAGGCACCCTTGCATTGTTGCAAACATGTATGTTCCGCCGTTCATCCGCCACCCTGCTCGTCCATGTCGGGCGTTGCTCTGCCCGACATCGAACACCCACCCAAATGGCTCTTTGGCTGCCAGCTGGTTCCTCACACCTCAACCCTTATCTACGGTTGAGTGACGGGTTTTTGCCCACCCCCAACCCTTTCATCGCACGTGGCCCACGCCACCCAGAGTGAATTCATACAAACCCACCTCAAACCCACCCCCATATGCACCCAGTGAACATCCCAATCAACACCAACATAGGTTCTAAAATGGGTGGTGAACTCACCTACCAACCAGATTGGGATCCCAAAACGGTTTTGACAACCACAGCCATGTCGCCGGTTGCTGGAAACTGCCGGCACACACCCCAGCTGGGTGTGGCTCAAATTAACCAGGCTTTGGTCCATGTTTCCACTTTCCAGGGCAACCCATTTTGGAATTCCAGTTTTTGAGCCACCCCCAGCTCTCCCTCCCTTTATCCCCATCCCCCACGCGCTCGCTCGTTTCCCGCGCTCGCTCGCTAGGCGCCCGCGCTGCCACCTGCACCGTCGGCTCCGCGCCGGGAGCCTCCAGGGCGCGGCGCGCCGCGCCCAGCGCCGGCTCGCTGCAGGGCGCCGCCAGTTGCGGCAGCACCTGCGAGCGGAAGGCAAGCGGAAGCCGCCTTCAAGACCGCAGAGAGGAGGCGCAGAAGGCGCGGCGGAAGGTCATCTGAAACACACACACACACACACACACACACACACACACACACATATATATATATATATATATATATAAATACAAATACACACCAAGGCGGAAATGTGTCTTTTCCCAGGAGTGGCAAGGTGATTGTCTTTGTTTGCTTCTTTTATTCTTAGGTTGCCGTATTTTACGGCAAGGTCTGACGAACTTGCCAGCATTGTTGTCAACCCTCTGCAGGGTGGGTTCTTTAAGGATGTTTAGGATGGGTTTATTTGTTGCTTGGGCTGGGTAGTTGGTTTATGGATGCTTTAGTGCTGGGTTGGTTTATGGGTAGTGAGTTTAGGGTGGTTTGCTTGGGCTGTGTAGCGCGTGATGCTCATAATTCATGAGGCACAGACGAAAAAATATTAATTGGACCAGCCGTCTAATGGATAAGAGCATCTGAAGCCACATGACGATGGTGGTTCGAGTCCACCCTGGTCCGTGTTTTTATTTTTTTTTGTTTTTTTCCGTTGCAGTCGCTAACTGAAGTTACGAGCGTAACTTTTGTGCCGCGCCTCGGTTCAAAGGGGAAGCAACAGGAAACTCATCTTTTCCGGGTCCTCTGTTTCAAGAATCTGGATGACGGTTGGAAGGCACGCGTTTTCCCTGAGGGAAGTTTCGAGACAAGTCTCAACAAACTGTTTCCCACAGAAATGGTCCTTCAAGCTGTGAATTCACTGACTGGCGCCTGGAAACCTCCTGCTCTTACTCAGTTACTCAGTTCTCCAAAGGACCCAAGAATCAAAGGTTGACCTTTTGGGGCCACTCGACAAACTTGACCTTGGGGACCCCCCGCATTTCGGCTTCGCTGTCCGCGGTTTCCGGGGTCAGTCCTCCAGCACCGCGCAGCAGACCCCCGGGGAGCTTGCGTGGAGCTTCCCACACAACACCTGGCGGAAGCTAAGGCTCAGTGGCTGCAAGGGACCGGTTGCCGGGGGCGGGGGGACTACCAAAGTGGATTGGAAAACAAGAAGGTCGAAAGGCCGATTCGCTTTGGGCAAGTGAGTGGGAGAACAAAGCACACAAGGTACCCCCCCACCAATTGACATGGAACCTGGCGTCCGGGGGTTCTGGAAGGCAATTTTCCTTTTAAAGGGACCATCTGTCAGGTTCCATGTTATTGATTGTTTGGTTGGTGGAGCATAAAGGGATTGAAAGGGAAGCCTTCTTTAGTGTAAGGAAGGAAGGCGAGAAGAGAATGAAATGTAAATCTGCATGTACGCGGTTCCTAGCTTATCAATGGAAGTCAGGTGACAAAGTGAAACATCGAATCTAACGGACACACAGACACAAACAAACAAACAAACAAACAAACAAACAAACAAACAAACAAACACACAAACAAACAAACAAAAAATGCCGAGAACATGATAATAAATTCAAGCTAATGCCGACATCAAGCACGTTCCTTTTGTGTGTGTGTGATGACGGATCATGGTTTGCATGAGTTCCTGGCTGACATGAAGATAATGCCTGGCTAGCTACAGGGTACTTACCCTCCACAAAAAGCCTTTCATTGATCCTGGATTCGGACGACCGCATCCTGCTTGACAGCTGCGCGCCTCATTGCTTCGCACTTACTCTTCAAAAGGGACTGTGCTGGAAAACATATCCCTCAGGTCAAGCAGCTTTCCTCGAATCCAAGGAAACTGGTCGAAGCAGAGCCCAACTCTCCATAACTTACTCTTAAACTTAAGCTCCTTCCTTTGACCTCCCACCTTCACACTCCATGCCCCGCGCCCCGCTACCTCTACGGCCTCCTTGTCCTCAAAATCTGCTATCCTCGGCCAAATGTGAAATGCTGTCAGCGCTCAGCCTCACCTCACCAATACGAGCCAACCATGGGACAGCAGTTGGCACCCTGCGGGCCTCAGCATGGAAAACCTCACAGCCTTGTGGACCTGCAGACCTGCCTCACCCCATCTGCCTCGTTCTCACCCACCAAGACCCCTGGCACATGTTGACTCACAAAGCCAAGTGTCTTTGCCAGGGCGTGGGCTGCAGCCACCTGAAAGGCGCAAGCGAACTGGATGGCTGGCCCTTTGTGACTTGCAAGTTGAGGCCCGGCAAAAACTCCACCCAGACTCGTGGGAGAGGGCTGTCAGATTTCCCAATGCGTGGCCAACATCTCGAGAGAGCTGCCCCTCATCGTTGCCCTGGACCGGACTGTCAGATCTTGCAGGGGGTTCGGCCCCAACCCCTTCGCCGCGTCCCCAGTGGCCTGGACATGTGGTGACCGGTCATGGAGACGTAGGGACACCTGGCACCGCTTGACACGCGAATTTGGCATAGACGCTACAGCACGCTTCACCCCCCCTGGGTGGGTGAGTAGGTGAATGAGTGGGTGAGTGGGTGAATGAGTGGGTGGGTAGGTAAGTGGATAAGTGGGTAAGTAAATGGGTGGGTGGGTGGGTGGGTGGGTGGGTGGGTGGGTAAGTGGATAAGTGGGTAAGTAAATGGGTGGGTGGGTGGGTGGGTGGGTGGGTGGGTGGGTGGGTGGGTGGGTGGGTTGGTGTGGGTGGGTGGGTGGGTGGGTGGGTGGGTGGGTGGGTGGGTAAGTGGATAAGTGGGTAAGTAAATGGGTGGGTGGGTGGGTGGGTGGGTGGGTGGGTGGGTGGGTGGGTGGGTGGGTGGGTGGGTGGGTGGGTGGGTGGGTGGGTGGGTGGGTGGGTGGGTACCTGGTGTTCTGCCTTCTGAGCCAAGCGCAACTGGCAACTGGGCAGCCCGCCTCCTCGAATGCGCGCCGATCCCCGGACATGCAGACCTGCGGCAGGACCTGCCAGAAGCGGCTGGTGGAATGGGAGGAGGGTGCAATGACAGGAGTGGGAGGCCTGTGCCTGAGCGGATTGAAAGCTGGGGGTCTGCCATTTTGGCTTCATCACCTCTGTCAGCTTCTTTGGCTGATCTCTTGAGTGGGTGCCTTTGCCCACCTCACTTTCCACACATGGCGACAGACTACGTCGCCCAACTTCAGCTCTGAACCGATGCCCAGAACTCTGGACGCTCTCAGGTGCTTGGCACCTCCCATCCGCACGTGTGCGGAAGCTAAGAAGGTCGTTCATCCGTTGCTCATTGACAGCTGCAGGCTACTCACACGGATCAGCATCGCGGCAGCTGCGTCAGAGAGCAGCTGTGCCGGATCTTTCTGCCCATCGACAACCTGGGCTGCTTGTTGGCACCACCGCCCGTGAAGAACACCCTTCCATCTACAAGTTTGTCTTTTGAGGGTACCCCTGCGGCGATTGGTTGGAGGGAAGCCAAGGGAAACCTGCCTAAGCTGGTTTTAATCTATGGGGAGGACCCACTAACACCGACCCCACCGCCTTCCTAACCAGCGCCTGAAACCCACGAGTTTGAGCCACACCCACGTGAATCATCGAGGCGCCGCACGGCCGGAGCCGCCCCACTGCACAGTGACCTGCCAAGATCGCAACGCCTCCAGGCAGTCGGCGGCCGCGGGACTGCAGCGGGGCTGGGGGCCGGCGGCATCTCTGTCATGGATTGGGAAGCCCTGCTTAGGAGGCTCCCTCGGAGCGACTGAGCAACATGGAATGGTTGAGAAGCCACCGCTCCCTCAAGCACTTTTTGAGGATAGGGGGCCCTGTCGCTTAGCTGGCATGTCACACTTTGCAAACACATCCCTCGCAGAAGGCCAGCGCCATCCAAACAAAAAACAAAAATTAAAGCCACGTCCTCCCTTCCACGCCTGTTCCGCTCCATCAGCCACACCTCCGGGCTGACCCGCAGCAGCGGCCCCAGCGCCGCCCGCAGAGCGTCGCAGTGTTGGTTGTCCCGCCTGTGTCAAACCCATACGGCACGAGCCCAGGTGTCGCTAGCTTTCTCTTGGAGCTGTACAGGCTGCAATGTCCCCGAACATGTCTGGCTCACGCCTCCCCAACCTTGCTTTGTGCCTATGTTTTCCCACCCTGATCCCAGTCTTCCCCCTCCAAAACCGAATCCTGCGCCCACTGGAACCCCCCCCAAACCCCACCCGTCCCATACCAAACACCGAGCCGCAGGAGATCCGAGCCCACCACCAGGTCGAAGGCGCCGCGGCTCAGCTCGGCCCGGTCCTCCTCCACGTGCCACCGGAACTGCCGCACCTCCGCCCTGAGCGTGGGGATGCTCGCGTCTGGAAATCCAACATGGCCCATCCCCCGAAAGGCTTGGCCCTGCTTTATGAGAGGTCTTGAGGGACCAAAGAGTTCGAACTCACCAAAGGCTATTAATTACCTGGCTTTTACCGAAGGGTCCAACAGAGGATACTGAATGAGAGAGATAAAAGCCAGGCCATCTTTCCCTGTCACTCCCTTCTCGCGGTCGTTCCACGTCAAGATGATAATGTAAAGGGAAGAGCTCAGAGAATAGAGGTTTGACGGTTTGACCGAATGAAAGAGCGAATTCCCCAGCATTCAAGTTCCTCTGTCACTTGTCTTTTAACGAGCGAAGTGAGTGCTATCTTCTTCATCTTTTTCCTTCATTCAGTTCCTTCGGTTACCTTCATGTCGTCAACCTGTCTAATCCCTGTTCCCTCTCACTCTAACCTACCTGTCAAGGGAATGAATATGACCGGAAAGACAGGAAACAGAGATGAATAAGGTTTACGACAGCGAGAAGAGCGGAGGAACCAGCCATCATCTCCCTTCTCTCACCTTACGTTCGTTAAAGGAAGGAGAACGAGGGAAGTGAGTGAGGATGTGATTCGCTTCCCTCACCATCACTTCATCCCTCTATTCATTCCTTTCTCCTTTTCACACCCTTTATTATTTGGGATTATTTGTAGGGCGTGAAAGGTAAAAGAGAAAGGAATAGGTAAAGATGGAGTGACTGGAAGGTGATAGCCAATGGCGGTCAATGGTAAACAGACCGTGAATAAAGGCTATCATTACCTTCCCTCTCCATCCATTCCTTTCTCCTCTCATTCCCTTTGGTGACTCGGTGAGACGGAATGAGGTAACGAATGAAGGGAGAGTGATAGACGAAAAGGAACAGAATGAAGATGCGAGATCCAGGATCTCATGTCAGCATTTTTCCCTTCCTTTCCGTTCACTTCCTCTCTCTCTCTATCTCTTCCTTCCCCATCTCTCTCCTCGTCCTTTCTCCCTTCACCGCGCGCGGGGAACCGCGCACGCCTGGGCCCCAGGTTCCGCCGCAGGTTCCGCAGCACGCAGGGCCCTCCGTCGCTGGCCACGGCCTCGTGGCCCCGGCCGCTGAGCGCCAGGGAGGCGAGGCCCGTGCCGGCGCCCAGCTCCAGGACCCGCAGACGCGGGTACTCCGGCAGCGCCCCTCCCAGCTGTTTTCGAGAAAAGGTCGTCCGGAAAATGGATTTTGTGTTTCTCCCGCATTTTCCGAGAAATCAAAAAGAAAAAAGTCGCCCCGGTTTTGCTGCCGGAAATTTAGACCCCCCCCCCCCCCATGCCCACCCCAAATTGAGCTTTTTGTTGGTGGGTCGAAGGCACGTTTTGGTGGTCAAACCACGCTAGCGCGCCTAGGTGATTCGCCAGCGCCACGGCCATGGACCAGGTCATGCCGCCCTCTCCGCACTCCTTGCGGCAGCTTTGGGAGGACACTCGCAAGCGATGAGGAGAAGCGACGCATGCGACGCATGCCATGCCACATGCAATTGGAGCAATGAAAATGCATGTGCCTCACTTGGACCGAAAGGTCTGAAGCTGAAGAAGGAGAAAAGAAGCCGAGACAAATTTATGCAAAACAGAAAAGCGGTCAGTACGGAGACGACCAGCAGTGGACCAAACTTGGCGTTGGGCAAGGGGGGAACAATGCGTCGGTAGAAGCGAAGCACATTCGAATGCCTGCTTGTTTTGACCCACTGGTACCATTCTGGGGTAGGTGAACAACCCATTTTAGTCGATTTTAGTGGGCATTGGGATGTTCACTGGGGGTACGATTTGGATTTTGAACCATGGCCAACTCTGTAACAAAGCATCTAACAGCCTAAACGTAACGAGGGCGTACGTAACGAGCCAGTCCGCGGCCTGGGCGGAGCGCTCGCGCAAGCGCCAGGTGGCCCAGCGGCCCAGCGGCAGCGACACCTCCACGTCCCGAGCTCCGCTGACGAAAGTCTTGGAGGACAGAGGGCCTCCCAAGACACTAAGGTTGACCCAGGATTCATAAACCCGTCCCATTCATAGGGGGTGTTCCCTCCAAAAGTGGTCTGAATCCCCACTAAACGGGGACACCCCCCTTTTTGTTAAACAGGGGTTTAGTAATCCGGGGTCAACGTTAAGTGGCTGTGGTTGTCAAAAAGGTACCCAACATGGCTTGCCCTGGTAAATGAGAAAACATTTGCTAAAACCTGTGGTCCTCTGGCGGTTTAATTCTGACCCATACCCAAGTGGTCCTATGCATGCAGTTCTGAGATCTGCTGCCCACGAGATATCTCGCCACCCAAGGCCTTTTGCCCCGAGGGCCACATCACAAGCAAACACTACAAGGGATGCACCGAGTGGATCAGGGCAAAACAAGCTCCAGGTGTAATCCTCCTGTGGAGCACCCAACCCGCATTCTAGACATCCTAAATCTTCATTGGGGACACTTTGGTGGGCATCAGTTGCATGGTTAAATGCATGTCCACCGATGTTGGCGGGCATTCCAACCACTGAAGCTCGCCCCAGGCCAGCACAGGCCAGCAAATCATGGAACAACATCCCCAACATCTGCCGTGGCTCAAAAACCTGTCACTGACACCCAGCTGCATGGAACACACCCATCTCTCCGGGGCAAACTGCCAAAAAAAAGGCCTCCCGGCCCTTCGCCCAAATGACATGGCCATGGGTCAAAAGCCAAATCGTACCCCCAGTGAACCTCCGATTCAATCCAACCGCTAAAATAGGTACGAAAAGATGGGTGGTGAATTCACCCACCAACCAAAAATTCACCCACCAACCAAAATGGGATCCCAAAACCGCTTCCACAACCACAGCCGCATCCCACACCCGCATCCCACTCCCCAAACCCATCTCTCCGGGCAAACTGGAGAAAAAAACAAAAAACAAAACAAAAAAAACTGCGCCAACGCCATCCAGACCAGGCCTCGGAGGCTGAGCCGCTCCCTGGCGGCCTCGCCCAGGACCCCGGCCGCCCAGTCGCCGCTCAGCAGCTTCCTGAAGCGCTCGAGCGGGGGGGGGGGGGAGGAACTGGCCTCATTATTTGGCTGTGGTGGTCAAAAATCGGGAGGGCCCGAACTTCGGTCAGGAGCAAGAACAATGGCGCCACACCCGGCCATCGCATGTCAGCTTGGCTGTGCGTCAAAAATCGGGTAACCCCAAAATGGCTTGCCCTGGTAATTAAATGGAAACAATGACTAAAACCTGTGGTCCGATGGTGGTTTAAATTTGACCCATACCCATTTTATCATGATCAAAGTCACCCCCGTTCAGTGGTGGGTTAAAGGGAAACAACCGATCTGGCTTTGATAACCCCCGGTAACCGTCGAAAAAATGACACCGGGGAAATCCCGGGCGGTTTGCAGAGCTGAGCTCTGGGAGGCAACTTGTCTCCAGCACCTCTTGTGCTGGTGTCGTTTGTTTTTGTTGCGCGCCACTGGCGCAGAACAAAAACCAGATAGCGCAGAGCCACCCAAAAACAGCCGGTGCTTTGCTGCAGGCCAGGCGATCTTTCAGGGCCTGCTTCGAGCCTTCAACAAAAACAATTGGGAAAGAAGGAATGCATCTGTCATCTGCCCAACCCCTTGGTGCAGCCGAAGCTCGCAGCCAGCTTGCTGTCCTTTACGCTGATCTCCACGGTCAGCGTCTGGCTCCTCCTCGAATTAGGATTGGCCTGCTTCCTGTGCCCGTAGCCATGTTTTGGATATGCTGCAGGAACACCCCAAACAGCGGACTCTTCGAAGTTGCGTGTTTATTTGCCAAACCTTGTGCTGCTACATCTGCACCCATGTCCCGTTCCTTTGCTCATTGCACAGGGCTAGCGCACGACAAACGCGGCGCAGGAGAGGGGCAGCTGCTGCGTCTCCTCTGCGCTTCCGAAGGCTTCTGGCGATCCTCGCGTGCAATGGTAGCCCTCTTTTTGGGCTCCACTCCACATGAACAGGTGGAATGACACTCGTGACGTTTTGACTGCCAAAAGCCAAGAGATCCCAACGCCCAGAGCCACTCTCCGACCTGCCACCCGGCCGGCCTTGGCGGCCTTGGCGGCCAGGAGCTGCCCGCCGGTGCGGCAAAAGACCAGGCGCCCCGAGCGGAAGCAGCCTGGGGAGGGCGTCGCCAGAGGCAAACCCCAGTCATTTAGGCCCAGGGCTGTGGGAAATGACCACTCCCAAAGACAAATCCCGTATATAAAGAGGGGATTCGGATTCCCTTGTATCACAGAAGTGGGGAGTTTATCCCCTTGATCCCACAACCCTGTTGAGGCCCGTCTCGAAAATACAGGACACCCCCAAATCGGTGTCTCCTGGCCAATGCAAAACGCACCCACTCCGGAGTCCCGGCCTTCGCGTAGGGCAGCGGCGGCACACTGCACCAAGGCCAGCGCAAGCAGCCATCCGGCCATCAAAACCGGAGGAAACACATGGCCATGGGTCAAAACCCCGGTTACCCCCCGGTGAACATCCCAATCCCCACTAAAATAGGTTCTAAAATGGGTGGTGCACCTACCCAAAAATGGTACCATTGGTGCTGACCCACGGCCACATGCTTTGCGAGACTACCGCGGCTGGTCCACTCGTAGACTACTGCCATTCCTTGCGCCGGGGACTGCCGCAAAGAATAACATGCCAAGGAGCTTGACTGAGAATTGGACACATGCGCCGAGCTGTTGCGCAAACTACTATTTTGATTGGTTAAGTTGAAAGGCTATTGTGCAACCAACAAGAAGTGTGTCAAACTGCTTTGGCTGCGGCCAGCGATTTGGGTTACCATAGCCGGTAAAAAAAACGAAAACACGCAAAACAAACAAAAAAACACAAGCAAGTCTAAGACGAAAAAACGCCCAAAAACAAATAATGGCGAAAAACAATAGCAAACAACGAACAAAACATACACAAGAACGCGCTGACACTAACAAATCCATACACACAAACAAACAACAAACAAACAAACAAACAAACAAACAAACAAACAAACAAGCAAATGCAATCAGGCTAATCACGCACGAGCGACAAAATAAATATCAAGAAACACAAACACCGATTAAAAGAAAGAAGCACAGAAACACAGAAACAAAAGAAGCACAGAATCAAGCAAGCAAGCCAAGCTAAGCCAGCAAAGACTGCAACCATGCTGATCGACGGCGAGTCGCACTTAGAAGATGGCGATGATAGCAACCACGACCATAAAACCACCACAATGAGAACCGATCAGACTGGCAGCGAGCGATCGATTCCATCCATCCGAATGCCAGCTGACATTTGGCTGTGGGTCAAAACCCGGTACCCCCCACTAAAATAAGTTCTAAAATGGGATCTCATTGGCTGTTCACAACCACGGCCATCTGACCTCCCCGAATCCTCGCCTCGAGAGCAGTGGCCCTGACCCTGCTGGACCGGTGCTGAAGAGCCTGCGAGAGCACCTCGAAAGCCTGGCTGGCGGGCTCAGGCTGGCGGACGTCCTGAAAAAATCGATCGCAACAGCGATCCTTACATTATACACCTGAGCATTGCCTTGTCAATGGCGGTGTCAACCTTTATTTTGGTGGAAAATGCCATCTTTAGAATGGGCAACATGTATCTTTTAAGGAGCCCTGCGCAGCCAGCGGCCTTTTGCCCATTTTGGATGAAAGGCCGTGGGCCACCGCACGTCTTCGACGCATTTTTTTTTTGCGGGGAAGCGGCCGGCCCCTTTTTCCGCCCAAGCCCAAGCGCTGAAAATCTTGCGCCAAAACAAAGGGTCCGCAAGCGACCACGCGAAATACTGTATGGCATACTGTTTGACGCTGGCATAGGGCTCCAAAATCAAAGATACCTGAACATCCACCCGCCCTTTCCCTCCGCTTCTTCGGTGCTGGAACACACCAAGGTGAGCCTTTCTTGTCCCGCAGCCTGAAGCTGAAGGATGCATCGACCCACCGACCCCCCCCCGGAGGCCTGCGGGTCTCCTGGCAGACGGGCGGAGCTCCGGCCCACGCAAAAACCGGCAACTCTTGCGCTACTGGGTATGCCTGTGTTTGCGGACGGTGGATACAAACATGTTCGTCATGGTTGGTCATACTTCAGAATTGAATATAGCGTTAGTTACATCATTGATTTAGTGAAATATTTTGGAGTTGACCTTGTGGTTCCCGTTGAAACCAGCCTTTTGGGCCAAAAGATTCAAGGTCTCTCCGCGCCTCGCGTGGCGACCTTCGGGATCAACTGAGCTGCCTGCGGACAGGAGCGGCAAAGGCACTTGGCTAGCCATGGGCGCAAAGCAGGCGCAGAATGCGCCGAACGCGCGGCCTGGGTTTGGCCTTCCGAAGCTTTCACGATCCCTTTCCAAATTGAAGGCGAGGATTGATTGTGGCAAGAAGGATCGGGCAATCCTGTGGGCGGTAGCAATGGTGCTGCTCAAAATGGGGACAACCCCGCTTAGGGGCTTAAGGATTACTTGGGCAAGGTTGGCAAGTTCTACGGGTCCCCATGGCTTCTAGATCTGCGCCTTTGAAACTATGCTGAGCTTGGGTTCACCGATCTCTCTGCATCGAATCTCGCTCTCTCTGCCTTTGCCGCTGCCTCTCCTCCGTGTGTCTCTGCTTCTGCCTGTGTCTCTCTATCTAGCTATCTCTCACTCTTTCGTGCGTTGTTTCCGATCATTTTGCCTATCCTTGGTGAACCGTCACGGAAAGGATTCCAGCTTGCCCACCTTCAGACCCCTCCAAAAGGCCTAAAAAAGAGAGCATGTCCATAGAAACTACTGCAGAGGGGCCACCTTAAGGATCAAGGAGTGCCTTTGAACAGCCCAAAGATTGGTCTTTGGAACTGTTCTGGCCAAACATCCACCCGTGATCAACTTGCCGACCAGCTCACGAGTCAGTACAACACCCTGCGTGTTCTCAGCAAATCGGAATCTGGGAATGAGCCTTCCAAAGAAATCCGACAAACAAAGGCCAAACAAAACAGTAAAGGGTCAATCCTTGGAGGTCTCCCCTTTCTGGACGGGGCCAGAATGGGAAACCAAAAAAAGGAACCTGCCTGGAGGAATTGGTCCGAATCCAATTTTGAGGAACTGAGAAGCAAAACGAGCCAGTCGCAGGTCGTCCCGGCCTTCTGCCTGACTTCCTCTTCCTCATCGTGCGCAATGAGCCGCGCGAGGACGCGGATGGCCGTTGCGTCGCCTTCTGCCACGCCTCGGCCGGGATCGCCATTGCCGGGGTCCAAATCCAGGAACCTTCGCATGAATGGATGCAACCCAGCAGTGCGACCGGATATGTAATCCTGAGTTGGCATGATGCTGGCATCTGGAAAACCTGCGCATGGCACGGGCCGATTTCGATTTCGCGACTTGACGCCACTCGCTGCCGCAAAGTCACAGTAGGAAAGTTCATCCAAAGCCGCTTGCATCCTGAGTCTGAGTGGAGACATGCATCGGAACAAGACGTGCCCATGCCATCCCACACATCCTGGTAAGAAGCTCGTTTCAGTTGTGTGCACGTGAATGTGCGTTTTGGCTCATGGTCGGAAACTTGCAGGAAAGAGGTCAAGCAGGCTTCCCCGAAGTCAGCTTAGCTCGGACAAGGAGAGGCTCCCTGCGACCGAGCTGCCACTTGGCGGAAGAGCTGGCGCAAGACGTGCTCGTGGCAGCGTCAAGCCGCATCAAAAGGAACTCCTCCAGGTGCGATCCACCCCCCCCGCTCCGGGCTGCAAGCCAAGCTCTTGGTTGCCAATGGCTTGGGCTCATCAAACCCTTCTGACTACTTGTCTGCTTGTCTGCTTGTCTGCACCCAGCCCCTTATTTGCATGGCCCCTGCGAGGCTTGCTTCGGGCAAGTGGGGTAAGCAACTGAGCATCATTCAGAATCATTCATGAATCAGTAAGTGTACATGCCGTGATCTGATCTGGGGAATTGTTTTCTTTGCAATATCTTCAAATTCTGGTTCATATTGAGCCACCGCCAACCCTCACTGAAAGAAAAAGAACTTGCTGGTTCTCAGCAGGGAATGAGCGAATGACGCCTAGTGGTTTCCTTTCAGGTGACTCCTGGGTTCATCCCCACGCTGGGTCATTGCAAGAAAAGCATACAGAGGCCCCCAGGCACGTGGATGCGCTTTCGGGCCCGAAGCTTGTCGGAAGACGGCCGAGCGTCGCTTCGGAGCTTCGCAGCTCTGCGCTTCTCCTGGGAAGTTGGCAAACCTTCACCGGGCCCCGGAAAAAAAATCCAAACACCTTCCCGACCATCCATTTCAATGCTTTTCCCCCCAGCATTCAGCACACAGGAGCATGCTCCAGGTTCGAAGCAGTGCCGTTGTGCGACCCTGGCCAGCAAAACTGGTCCTCCTCTCTTGCATTGGTGATGGACTCAAAGTGCTCCGCGATGTACGGAAGCACCTCAGCAGGGCAATCCCACACTGTCCGCCATCGCAACTACCTCTTGGATGACCCTTTGAGACCAAGCTCCGGCAAGACGTTTGTCGATTTTTCGGGAGGGCGATCCAACTGCCGACTTGGACGTTGGTGGCGCACCTTCATCTGCAGCTCGTCCGTGGAGATGTCTCCATTTTTGTCCACCTGCCGGTTGCGGGGAGAGGACACAAGGCCAGCTAGCCTTGGCCCTTTGAATCCTGAGGCGACAAGCTCCGGTCTCTGTAATCACACCCCAAACAGAGTGCTACCTAATTAAAATTGGCCGTTCCAAGGATTGGTTGTCAGCCAATCCTCCCCACCCCACCACCCCACCACCATCACCCCACCCCTACCACCACCCCCCCACCCCTACCACCACCCCTCACCCCACACCCCCACCCCACCCCCACCACCACCCCATACCCCACCCCACACCCCACCCCACACCCCACCCCCCCACCCCACCCCCACCCCCACCCCACCCCACACCCCACACCCCACACCCCACACCCCACACCCCACACCCCACCACCCCATCACCCACACCCCACCCCACGCCACCCCCACCTGGAAGTTCTCCCGGATGAAACCCTCCATGGCGCTGGAGCTCAGCGGCAGCTGCACCGCCGCGATGGTCGCCAGCTCCGCCACGTCGATCCGCCCAGTGCCTCGAGAATCAGACGCGCTGCTGGGAGGCCGCCAATCCCCGGAGCCACGGACTCCCCACCAAATCAACCCCTAAACACAAGGCCCCCCAAAGGATAATTTCTCAAGTGATGGTTTGAAGACTTCAGTGTTTTGATCTCTAGGGGGGAAATCCCTCCCAACATCCCAACATGTGTGTTGACAGCATTTCCAAAACGCAGGACAGGACCCAAACTTTCCCTTCTGACAAAAAAGTGAGCCACGGCTGCAGGAATGCAGATTAGGAGGGGTTTCGCATCATGCACATGTGCCTTGCCAATTTGCAAGCTTGGCAGGGGTGTACGCAATTAGGGGTGCCGCCGCCAGAACTGACAGTCAGGCTAGACCACGGGTCAGTTTGGACACTTTAAGGTCGATGTCATAGCCGAGCAGCTTTTCCAATCCATGAAGGAAACCAGAGCCGTGCGGTCCGCCATCGATGGCATGCTCACAAAGCCGTCCTGAGGACTCGGACGGCAATGAATCGCGAGAACAGATGAAACGCATGTTCCCGTGCAACAAACTTTGCTGCCGTCCTGACTGCCACTGGGCCATGCATTTCTGCACGGTGCATTGCTAGCGCAGTGTCAAAATTGCATTTTTCTCTGGCAGCTTCCCCACTGCCTGCAACCTCCAGAACTCCCCATGCGTGCTGGCCCCGCCAGCCCAAGAGAAAAAAGGCATCTTGGCCGAGGGGCCACCGGCTGTCGGGTGGTGGGGCTCTGCCCCCAGGAGATCTTCAGGTTCTCCAAGTAGCCGTCCTTCAAGCGCTCGCCACGGAAGGCGCCCTTGTGGCTCAGCATCAGGGTGAAGCAGCCTGACGACTGGACATGGGCGCCTCCCAATGCCTACCTGGGGGGGGTCACCTAGGGCGTTTGAAGGTGAAGCCACGCCTGTTTTCCGACAAAAGACGACGCCTGGCGCTTAGCATCCGGCCATCATGACAGCCCCTGGCCTACGTGGTACAAGTCCCGCTCGATGCGCTTGCCCTGGTAGGTCAGCGCTCCAACCTCCTGTGGGGACCTGCCCAGGTCCTCGCAGCAAATCGGGCAGTCGGCGGTCTCCTGGCGCCAGCGCGTCAGCGCGTCAGCACGCAATTTTGCCCCAAACGCGTTCAACCAACAGAGCATCTCCAAGGAGATAACGCTTGACATGTGGCCTGGCCGCACAGAAGCATGGCAGTAGATACCCATTGGCAGTCTGATTCAACAGTTCCTCATAGGACATATAGGACAGGTCACATGAATTTGGCATGCACAGCGGCTTCAGGGTCAGATCTGAGCCTTGCTCCTGTGCAGAGCTACTAACCAGGGGGCAGGAACAATCGCGCAACAACAACAAACGTGCTGCGTCCACCTGTTGCGCCCTGCCGACTCTTAGCGGAAATTTGAATTGGCAGTTCGGCCGCTCTGATCGAGAGAAAGGGTTTAGATTGCTCAACTCTCTCTCTCTCTCTCTCTCTGCTTGCTGAGGTGGCTTCTAATTGAACAACAACCAAAACTCATTGAGTTTGGCTCTGCTAGGGAGATTAAAGGTCTAAGGCCTTGTTGCCACCCAATTGAACCAGCTAGTAGAACCACCTACCAAGTGGCCAGGGGTGGGTTTGGGCACTGCTCAATTAGAAACAAAGGGAAGCGGAAGCTAGCCAGCCTAACAAATAAGAAAAGACAAAGCACAAAGAGGGGGCCAAGGCAACGGGGAAATCGAAGAGAAAAAATGGAGAAAGGCACTGAGCAAAGTCATGATAAAAGAGAGGAGGCTGGAGAAGGGAAGCGAGTGGATCGAAGCAGGGCATAGAATAAGCAAGGCCCAGAGAGAAGAGGAAGAAAGCGAAGAACAGCAAAGACAAAACGACGGGGATCATCAGGAAAAGATGGGGACAAACTCGAAAAGAGCGGAGAGAAGAGCGTGAGAAGCTTCTAAGAGAAGCATCGAGAAGAGTAAAGAGAAAAAACAAGTTGGCAGCTGTAAAAGGGGAAGGGAACACCGGCTGGTTGTCTGAATTAATTCCATTTTGATCGTAAACTGCTTCATTTTTTGATTTTCGCATGGCGTTGCCGGTGGACTGCTCCTTCTCTTTGTCGTTCTCAGGGGACTTGAGTGGTGGCGGTTCTGCCTCCACCGCAGGGTCAATGCCAGGGCGCCTCAGGCCGGGCAACCTCCATGACGGGCGCGTCTTTTTTTCAGGGTGCCCATGCTTTGTGGTTTTAAGGGGAAGCAAAGGGGAAAAGCTTTTTTTTGGCGGGGTCCCCCCCCCAAAAAAAAAGACACCTCCATGCAAGCTCCTCCAAATAAAGGCCCAACGGGAGGTGGAAAAGCAGCCTTTTCAATGCCTTCATGCAAATCTAGCTTGCAACGCAGACCACACCCGAGCACGCGAGCCAAAGGGAGAACCCTCACCGCACCTGCCTCCACCCGTCGACTTTTTTTGCCTAGGCACCTCGGCACGGACTGCTGCTGTAGGCCCTCGAAGCGCCGCGGTTGCCAGACCTGCGGCTCATCAATGGAAGCGGACATGGAGCCCATGTCCGAGATCGAGTCCTCAGATGCCACCAGTGCGCAACTGGCGGTTTCTGGCTTCTGCCGCCGCCCACATGGCCATGGGGCATGACCTATGGCTCCATTTTCGGCCGGATGAACATCCACTTGCCACCTATTTTGATGTTCACCAGGGGTACAGCGTTTTGACCCACAGCCACATCGCAGGAGCCAACTTCCCCCCTTCCCCACTGAACGAGGCTTGTGTGAAGAATTTCATGCCGCCCAGCGCAGGTGGGAAGAAGTTCGCCTGGCGCCTGGCTTCTTGGCTTCTTGCAACACTTGTTGGAGCCACCCCCAGGTAACAGTTGACCTCCCACCCTCGAGGCCAGGCAACTCGGCAGGCAAAGGTGCAATTCATCGGAAAGATTTTTCGGCAGCCTGGCAGGCTGCGCTTGGACCATCGGAGCTTGTTGGAAGCTGCGCCGGAGGTAGATTTCAGATGACTGCCTTCTCAGCATTGAAAACGTCCACCAAGCCCCCCAGCCACTGAAACTGCATGAAGAAAAAGGAACAAACAAGACCGCATGCTTGATATTGATCCACGTGAGCTTGAACAGTATTTCACAACGCTGAACTAAGTCGAGCGACTCAACACTAGCAACAAGGACGGTTGGCTATCCGCCCTCCTAGCTATGACCACAGTCATGACCCATGCAGTGCAAGAGATCGCAACACCTGCCCCTTCACCAAAAGACTCATTGAAACACCTTGGGGAGGCACAGCAGGAAGACATTCTAATCGCTGTGGAATTCGGGTCGTTCCTTCTTCGGGTATGAGCGGTGCAGCCGTGCTCAAGGCTTGACCACTCCAGTGAGATCTTGCAACTTTGTCCTTGGCCACTGTCCTTGTGTTTCGCGGTCTGCGACGTCTGGTACATCCAACACTGCACCGGTCTCAGCCGGGACGGGGGAGCAGCTCCAACATGAACACACGAATTCAAGCAGTTTGGCTCGGCCTCAAGACTCTTGCCGGGCTGAGCAACAAAACAACAGCGACACAGGGGAACACATGTGACCTTTGACCTGATTGCTTCGCTTCTGGGTGAACAAAGTTAACACCTGCCGCCGGCCTGGCTCTCGAGCGCGAACCATGGTAGCGGAAAGCGCCATTCAGGGTAACAGAGGCACGGGTCGGTCGCAGCCGTTTCACCCGACCTTGTCGGCTTGAGCTGCTTTTGCTTGGGAGAAGTGGCTGGTACTAATCTCGGGGGACACTTTGGCAGACAGGCAGACATGTCCCCTCTGCACCTATCTTGCCAGGAACGCACGCCGACCTATCTGCGTGCCATTGAGCCGCAGAGCTCTGCGCTCGCTCGAGCCCGGGCATGTTCGAATCCGATCCGAACCCCGCGGCCTTCTGCCGAGCGAGCTGGCTGGGCAGGAAATCGAACTAAACCCGGGCTGAAGCCCCAGTTGCCCTACCAACTAACCGGGGGGGGGGGGTCCTGGAAGACCATTTTCCTCTTGAAGGGACCCCCAAAAGGTCAGGCTCCATGCATCTCATCAAAGTTTGCTGGCACCCGCAATACAATCTGCTCGATTCAGGACTCAGCTTTGGCTCAGATATGGAAACTAAAAAGGCCCTCTCGGCAGATTTGACTTTTGGGAGAGCCCCTTGTCACTGGCAAGGGGGAGTGGGGCAGGTGGCGCCATTGATCTGTTTACCAAGGTCTGACTGCCTTCCCACAAAATGCCCGTGCCCCCCCCCCCCATTGCCCCAGTCAACCGGCACGCAGGGGGTAGGACCTTCACGAAGAACACGTTCTTCAGGCTGGCGAAGGCGTGAAAGAGGTAGTTCTCGCTCTTCCAGAAGATTTGCCCAAGGTGCTCATAATACATGGACCTGGCGGTGGAGGTGAGTGAGATGAGCGTTGTCTTGATCCAAGAAGACACATGCCTCGTGAAAGACAGCTCCAAAAGCGTGCTGTACGTAGTGAGTACTGTAGCCGCTATGTGTATATGCAATTGTGTATCCATCTATATATACATATATTTATATACACATAAATGTGTGTGTGTGTGTGACTCACGGAAGGCATGAGTCGGGTCGGCCCTTGAGATTTTACTGGGCCCGGGTCCCCATCCACTCCTCCCAAATCTGCCAGCCTTGCCTCAGGTGCGGCTTGGGGCGCACATTCAGCTTCCCGAGAGCCGCCATGAGGTCGCAAATCTCCGAGGAGGTGTTGTAGGCCTCGCCTCAGAACAAGCCACGTGCTGTCACAACACGGGAGGGCCCGAACTTCAGTCAGGAGCAAGAACAATGGCGCCACACCCGGCATGTCAGCCCATGATTTACTTGGCAGTGCGTCAAAAACAGGTACCCAAAATGGAACCCTGGTAGATGAAAAACCTGCGGCCCCTGGTGGTTTAATTTTGACCCACCCCCACTTTATCGGAAGAAGAATGAGAAAAGGGAGAAAAAAAGGGGCATCGGCCAGAAACGGCTTACCCTCCCACCAACTAACATGGAAGTGCAAAAAGCCCAACTAACCAAGAGGAAAGTCTTCTACAAACGGTCTGTGCACCATGTTCGCTGAGGGTACCTTCCGGTTCCCAGGTTCTCAAAACCGGGTGCCCGAGCGCCAGAGATCCAACCTCAGCTCATGGCCATGGCATTTTTTTGCCGAGCAAGCCGACCCCCAAATCTGAAAAATTTGGCCGTGGTTGTCAAAACCCATGGTAGCAGTTTGGGGTAGGTGAATTCACCACCCATTTTAGGACCTATTTTAGTGGGGATTGGGATGTTCACTGGGGGTACAGGCTTTTTTGACCCATAGCCACCTGGTGCTAGCCTTCGTTGCTTTACCAGGGCACACCACTGGTTGCGGAAAACCAGGGCAAACCTCCAGGCATGAAGAGATGAACCAATCTTCGGCATATCTTCGGGCCCAATCGTCAAACCCGATGCCTTTGCCGTGCGCAAGATGCCTAGCAGTTGATGCAGGAGCACATCGAACCCCGAGCCGTCGGCTCCGTTGCGACTTGCATCTGTCGGCATCGCCTCGGCGATAAGGCTGCGCAAAAGAAGGGCTGCAGCATGGGTTCCCAAAGACTATCCCCCCATATAAAGGGGGAGATTCCCTTGTATCACAGAAGTGGGGAAAAACCCCTTGATCCCACAACCCTGAGTCTGTCAGTCCACGGGGGTCAATTTGGATCGCACAACTTCGCGAGCATTCGCCGGCGACTTGCAAAGCACCGCACGTCTCCAAGGTCTTGGTGATGGTGTCGACATTGTTGGGCTGTACCTGAGGCTTTCCAACCACTCGCTATCGGGAGCCTTTTCTGGAGCCTGCTCTTTAGCACAGCTTCCCAGCAGTTCCCAATCTTTTGCGCGGATTTTGCAGGGGGTAACACAAGGATTTCCAGGGAGAGACATCCGCATGTAGCAAGTGTCCGGATGCCTTCTCCTCAGCCTCGGCGCACGGGATTCTGACTGCTGGGCCCGGTTCGCTTCGAGAGGTCCTTGCAGCGATTCCCCAAGGGCCCTTCCGGATGCACGCCCAGCCTGTCCCCATGCGGCCCATGCCTACTCAGGGCCCAACCACGAGACCTTTTCCCAACCAAAATGATCGAATTTGTGTGAAGTAGCTTGGCTCAGGGAAACTGCGAGCGGGGAAAATTCAGGTGTTCACTTCGTGCTTGCCCAACCCTGCCCATCGCTCCGTGAAGTTCTTCCGGAGAATGTCGCAAAGGCGCTTGAACCTTGTGCACACACAATTTCTTGGAAGCACACATGCGACGGACAGGCTGACAAACAGACAGACCGACTGACTGACCGACGGGCAAGCAGACAGGCAAAGACACACGCAGACACAGCGGCCAAAGCCATGCAAGTGACGAAGATGGCTCCTGCCACGAAGACCGCCCCCTTGCCTCCAGCCGAGCTGAGCCGCCTCCTACCGGCACTGAGCCGCCGGCTCCTGGGGCCGTGAGTTCGCCCGGCAGAACTCGAAGGCCTGGCGGGAGGTCTCGTGGTAGACCTGGCCGGAGCTGCCGCACGCGGAGATTTGCCCCGGCGCGCCCCGGAGCCCCGGGCCTCTTCCAATCGGCTGTTGGACTTTAAGACATCAAGGATCACCTGGCAGCGGGAGGGAGCCAGGGCTGCGAAACATGGGGACCTCACCTTGTAGGTCTCCCACAGGAAGCGGAAGTGCGTGTGCACGTCCTTGTCCTGCAAGTGGTTCTCGCCGTGTGTGTCATGCTGGGGCGCACGAGCGGCTACGAATAGCTGTTTCACTATCATGTAATGTTCCAGGATTAATAAACCCGTCCCAGTATTAGGGGGGTGTTCCCTCCAAAAGTAATGAATCCCCACTAAAAGGGGACACCCCCCTATTAATCAACCAGGGGTTCTACTTAAATCCGGGGTCAACATGTATCGCAACTCCGTTTCTGCCTAGCTCGGCGGCTTTGTCTCCACGACAAAGCCGCAACGCAGCCCTCCCCTCGCTTCCATGATGCGCGAGAAGCTTTTTCCAAACACCGCATGCCATGTCAGCTCCCGACGCCCTCTCACATGAAGGGCCAGGCCTGCGGGTGCGGGACAAGCGCGCAATACTGGCCGAACACCCTCCCTGCCGCGCCTGGCCGGTCATGGCAGCCTGGGTGACGATGCCGCTGAAGGCAAACATGGCCAGGCGGCCATTCTCGAGCTCTTTCAGCCTCATGTCCTTCTCTCTAGCAGGCTCCTGGGGTGACACAACTGGTGCAAGGACATATTCTTTGTTGAAACCCACTGCAAACCATACCCGCAGGAGAAAACGTCCGACTCTTGGCACAAAGGCTTGAAACCTTGATGCCGCAAACATTCGGAATCAGTAGAAGAAAAAAAGCCGCCACCCCCCCCCCTATCCTTTGGAAGGAACTGCTTGCCCAAGAAGAAGTCGCCGGCATCCCGGTTGATCTCCATCTCCCAGCCCTTGAAGAAAAGCCACAGGGAGTAGAGCTCGAAGGTGCCAACGGCACCCAGGAAGGGTGCCATGTAGCCAGCCTGGCAACTGTCACGCATGGAACGGGCCGGGGTCATCCAGTTTCGGCGTGCAACTATGTGTCGGCCGTACAAAGCAACTGCGTCAATGAGCTGCGGCATTCGGCAAAAGATGGGCTGCAAAGGGAACAGAATTGACAGCTTCCTGCCTGATTGCTTTTGGTACAGCTTTCTGCCTCGATATAAGGTGCTTCTCAGGCGTTGCTGCGCCAAAGCTAGTGTTTCAGGCCTGCTGGAACTCTCCATTCCCCAACCTCCCCCTCCTCTCTCCAAGCCAGGTACATGGATCGTGGGAAACTTCGCAACTCCCCCAAAGTGGCTCCCCCCCCAACCCCGAAATTGACCAGTGTGGGTCAAAAAAGGGTACAATTGGAACCCTAGTAAATGGCAAGAAGGACTCAAATCTGTGGTTTCCTGGTGGTTCAATTTTGACCCGGACCCATATTCCCCCCCCTTCCCCCCCCCGAAAAGTGACCAGTGTCTGGACGTAGTTTTCCCCTGCCTCCACCATCTTGTCATGGGCCTCCAGGGTGCTCTGCACCGCCTGGAACTGGTCCCCCGGAAAGCGGGCCCCCAGGTCCGTGGCGATCCACCCCACCGTGGCCAGCATGCCTCACGGCGCCAACCGCTCAGTCGCCCAGCGCGGGAAGCGCCCGGTGATCTGATGCAAGCCCCTGAACATTTTGGGAGCTCCCAGACCCCAATTCAAGTGCCGAAAAAAAACGCGCGGTGCGCCGGGTTCACCTCACACTCGGAACAGCAGCGGCCCCCTGCAATAGAAAGAAAGGACCGCCCATGGCACTGAAAAGTATCTAGTTCTCTCCGACACACCATGCATCACACCAAGACTCGTCTCATCTTGATGCTCCCGAAGCGACACTGAAACTGGCGAACTCCTAGCAAAGACCCACGCACTCAACACAACAGCATACATTACGTTATGTTGTGTCGCCCTATGTTACTTTACTTCCGTTCCATTACAGTACAGTACATCACATTCCGTTACACTACACCACCACTGAACCACGTTACATTATACATGCATGCAACACAAATGCACACACGCAGCGTCTCAATCCCGTTGAACCGCCCAGCTGCAGACCCGGCCGTGCTTGAGCTCCGCCTCGCGGACCCAGTAGACCGGCAGCGCGTCCGTGACCCCCAGGGGGTCGAAGCCCTTCTCCTCCCCGGCCCAGCCCTTCAGCACCTGCGGGTACCGTAGGAAGGGCACCGCCGGAGACATCTCCTGGCGAGCGGAGCGAACGAAGCCCAAGGCACTCAGGCAGTGGGGTTCTGAAAGAACTTCCGTGCCGTGCGAATGAACGCCTTACCTTGAAAAGAAACAAATAAGGCCTGAGCACAGGGCTGATGCCCGCTGATCACCGGAAAACGGCGCGGCTGGCGAATTTGCAGCTCAGCCGCATTCAAAAACACCGAGCCGATCTGCCAGACTTGCAAGACATACGAGTTTTTGCTTCCAGGGCGCCATCTCTTTGGGATAGGTCTCCGTCTCAATGAAGGGCCCCTCGCTCAGCTTGGTGGCAGCGGCGCGCATGGCCGTGCGTCCCTGGCGGCTGGGCAGGGCGCAGACCCCCGCGTTGTCCACAAAGCTGCCGGAGAAGGACTGGCAATTGTTGAGATGCCTCGGCGTTGCCGCCGACAGCAAAACGGGCAAAACACGGGGCTGACATGAGTCCCAATCAGAACCCGGTACTAAAATGATCTACCCCGAACCATATCTATGGTTGGGATTGTCCCTTACTAACCTTCATCTACCCGGGTTTTGATTGTGGCTCACATCCCACACATCCTGCGTGTTGCAGGTGGAAACACCTTTTGACGCAAAGCACCAACACACATTTGGCGGCCAAACTCAAGCTGCAGTCTAAGCATATAAATGTCAAGAAACTGATGCGAGCGTCTCATGGCCAGTGAGGCACAGGCACTTACATTTTCCATTTGACACCCGCAAGCTTTCGAGCCAAAGACATGGGACTGAAAGCCACGGCACTGAACGAAGTACTGCACGCCCTCGCCCCACCAGCCGTTCTTGGACATGTAGCTCAGAGGCGGCTCACCGAACATGCCATCCTGGCAGCAAGCAGCCTCCGTCCTCAGCGCCTTCTGTCCAAAGCAAAGCTGACAGATTATCACCTCGCTCTCTATGTCTCCCTCTCTCTCGCTCTCTTTCTTGTCTCTCCCTCTCTCTCGAGCATGAGGTGCCAGGAGGTCGTGATCAAGTGTGTTTTGTTGAGGAGAGTTTTGATGTATGGCCAGGGCCATGTCTTCGCTTCAACAGCATCTGTCCCAAACTCACGAGCCCTTTGGTTGAAATGTCCACAGGCCCCTGACAGTGTGTGTGTGTGTGTGTGCTCTCGGCGTACCAGCGCCTGCACCATAAGGCCCATGATGGCGACCATGGCCAGCCTGCCAGCTGATTGATGGGAAAACCTCACCAGCTAGTTGGTTGGCCCTTCTTGTCTGCTTTGCACTGGTTACACTTCACCATTGCCGTGTCACGCGGGAAAAGCATTCTGTAGGATCAACACTTGACGACAAATGGCTTGCTGCAAGCAGTCTAATTAGCCATCCCCGCGCACATTCTTTGGGGCAAGCGAAAAAAATCGACGGCCATCGGCTGCTCCAGTCCGAAACGGGGGTCCAGTCCAACTGGCAAATTTTGTTGGGGGAAGACGGCTACTGGTTCAACGAGATTCAACTGAACCAGTAGAACCAGGCCTACATATATTTTTCCGCGGCAGTCCACGCCTGCCGTTGTTCCGCTCCGCGGTCAGCTTCCTCTCCAGCTCCGGCTCCTCGATGCCATCCAGCAGCTCCGTGCCCAGGCCGAAGTCCGAGGTGCCAAGGCCGCC